CAAGAGTTTGAAAAATGAAGTGGGAAAGGACTGGCTTCTCATTGTAATGCCTGGCATCTGTGCTTCATATTCTCACGTCCTTTGACTTTATTAGATTATAGATTTAGGTTACTTTTGGGAGTGGGAAGGAGAAAAATTAGGTAATTTTCATGCTCCAGTGAGAGTCTCACAAAACCTATAGTTATGATTATCATAAGCATCTGTCCTCTGCCTCTTGTCTGTCTCAAGGAGTCCCAGAGAATTGTTCCTCAGCTGCAAAATTCTTCACCCATTTCTTTTTATCCATTCTGCCCTATTTTATATCAATGGTCCATTCTCCCTTGCTCGAATAGTCTTCTTGTCCATAAAGTGCCTCCTTAGTTCAATTTTCACAGTCGCACAATCGAATTATGACAAAGGACAAATTTGATTGTTTTATTCTCTCATTTAAAGCCTGGCAGTGGCTCATCACTGCTTTCAGAACTATCTTAATCCCCTTATCAAAAAAAAAAAAAAAAAGAAAACCACATTCCCCTTACCGTGAATAACTTGGCATCTGCTTTACTCCCTATTTTTACACCCCATCAAAGTTTTTGTTCCAACCACACTGTATCACTTGCTAATACCAAATGGGTTATGTTCTCTCTCATCTCCTGGGATTTACCCTTGCTATCCTCAGAGATGATGATCTACTTTTTCTATCCATATTTATCTAAAAAATTCAACGGTTCACTAGTGCATTCAAGAATTACCTGTTGATTATGTGAAGCTGTCTTTGACACCCTGACACCAAGTTGAGTGACTTCTTGTGGGTTCCTTGTACACTTCCAACACTGTACTGCACCTAATCCTTTACTTGTCTGTCATTTCCACTAGCTTGCTAACTTCTTGAAGACAAGACTGATTCTCAGTCATCACTGTGGCCTCAACACCAATTTCCCCACAATAGGCATTTGATAAATGCCTGCCTCCTTCCTTCCTTCCTTCCTTCCTTCCTTCCTTCCTTCCTTCCTTCCTTCCTTCCTTTGATTTTTGGGGTCACACTTGATGATTCTCAGGGGTTACTCTTGGCTTTGCACTCAGGAATTATTCCTTGAAGTGCTCAGGGGACTATATAGAATGCCGGGGATCGAAACCAGGTGGCTGCATGCAAGGCAAAGACTCTCTCTACTCTACTGTTGCTTTGGCCCCTTGATAAACATTTCTATCTGAACCATCTCATGAGAATAAGACTCTTAGTAAAAGTTTCTGGTCTAGCCAGCTTTTCTTCTTTCTTACTTTTAATACCTCACTCACTTAGATTTTTGAGAATTTAAGATTCTGGATGATGGGTATATGCATGCAATATATAATTCTTTAATTTTTCTATGTACTACTTATTATCAAGTAGAATTCTTTATTGGATTAGCTGTTTCATCCCATTGTGGTAGGGCAAAATAATTAAACGCCTGGGCTAACGCTGTGTGTCTTTGGAGTCTAAAATAGCATTTTTCAACTTTAAAAAAATTTAAATTTTTAAATGAATCACTGTGTGGTACAGTTACAGACTTACAAACTTTCGTGCTTATTTTCCAGTCATACAATGATCAAGTACCCATCCCTCTACCAGAGCCCATTCTCCACCACCAATGATCCCAGTATCACCACCCCCCCCACCCCATCCTGCCTCTGTAGCAGGGCATTCCCTTTTGCTCTCTCTCTCCTTTTGGATGTTGTGGTTTGCAATAGAGGTATTAAGTGGCCATCATGTTCGGTCTGTAGTCTACTTTCAACTCGCATCTCCCATCCTTAGCTGGTGCTCCAAGCACCATTAACTTGGTGGTCCCTTCTCTATCTGAGCTGCCTTTTCCCCCAGCATGTGAGGCCAGAGCAATCCTCCTGGTCCTTATCTCTACTATTCTTGGGCATAAGTCTCACATTCTGTTACTTTATATTCCACAAATGAGCATTCTTCAACCTTTCACACCATGGACTGGCATTGTGCGTATGTTGTGTGATGTGTGTGTTGTGTGTTGTGTGTGTGTGACATCCAGCAGTATTCAGGGCTTATTCCTGGCTCCACACTCAGGGATCACTTCTGGCTGACTTACAGAACTATAATGCAGTGTTTGAATCAAACCTGGGTCAGCTGCAACAAAGCAAGCACCTTACCTGCTGTACTAACACTTCAGCCCTGTACCAGCCATTATAACCAAGGCTACAAACCTGAGGTTTCCCGTTTTGCACCTGTAGACCAGTCTTTGGACAAGTGACTAAAGAATATGGTTATGTAGAAAAGGCTCTGCTGAATAATGATGTTAGGAACTTGTGTACAATTGGGTTCAGAGTGAACCGTTAGGAAGGTTATGAGGGTCTGAAAATGTAGTCAATTACTAGTAGACTAGATTCACAACCTCTCACTCCCAAAACAGAATCAGAAGAGATTGAGAATGCTGTTTCTTTTTAAAAGGTATTTGAAGGGCCTCCATTGGGGTTCAAGGACTACAGACCATACATTGTTATTTCCAGACCCATATATTCTACACAATGTCATAGTGACAAAAACAAAAACATCTTAGGCCTAGTATGACTTGGCACTGTGCTCCTGTTGTTCATCGATTTGCTCGAGAGGGCACCAGTAACATCTCCATTGTGAGACTTGTTGTTACTGTTTTTGGCATATCGAATATGTCCACGGGTAGCTTGCCAGGCTTTGCTGTGCGGGTGGGCTACTCTTGGTAGTTTGCTGGGCTTTCAGAGAGGGGCGGAGGAATCAAACCTGGGTCAGCTACATGCAAGGCAAATGCCCTACCCGTTGTTATTAGCTATTAAAAAAAAAGGGAAAGGGAGTCTTTTGAGCATATACTTCTGCTTAGAATGGAAAGAACATAAGAATTCTTAATGATTGTGCATCTCCATGGCACAATTTCTAACAATGGCTAGTAACACCACTACCCATTCTCTTCTTCTAACCAAGAAGGGAGCGATTTTACAAGAGAGCTGTCTGCTCCATTCAAAACTTTGGTCTTTTGTGTGTTGGGGGGGCTGGAGGGAAGCTAAGCTCTTAGAAAGATTTAACCAACTTCAATGTTTGTTTCTGGAATTTCAACTGTTCTGGAAGCATTTCAGCGTCCTATTCAAAATTTACCTAATAGGTTTATATTTTGTTACAAATACTTTTTGTTTTGTTTTGGGACCATACCCAGTAGTGCTTAGGAATCACTCCTGGCAGGGCTCAAGGGTCAATCTGTGATGGTAGTGAACAAACCCTAGTCAGCCATTGCTCATATCAAGATCCTTACCTGCAGTACTATCTCTCTAATCTCACAGTCAGATACTTGAAACATTTTTGTTTGACCTCAACCAGATTTGTTAACAATCTCAGATTTATAGAATGGTTAATACTAAAGTCACATTACATATTACAATGGGGGGTTCAATCCTACGGAAGTGCATGAGCTCAAAGTTTTTTTTTTTTTAATGGGAGCACAATTCCTACATTTTTAGTTTGTATTAAGACTGCCTTAAGGTGACTAGACTTTAACAGTACACACTGAAGAAGTAGAGGTGAGGGGGATCTTTGAGGTGGGGATGGGGGGTGAGGGAAGGCCTGCAGTACGCAGGAGAAATGAAAGAAAATCAGTATGAAGTAACAAACTCAGGAAGGAAAGTATGCGAAGAAATAACACATAATTAATTTGCCCTCCCCTCTCATCCTTAAGGAGCTCAGTTTGTACCATCTTCTGTTCCATGCTCTGCATTATTTCAGGTAACAGGACTTCTTATCTGCTTCCTCTAGGACCCATCATACAGGGAAAAGAAAAAAAAAACCCAAAAAATACAAACACAAAAACTTAGTGCGATACAGTATCCACTGATGGAGGTGTACCCCTTGGCCCATACTCACTTTTGAACGCAGGAGTGTGGAGCCTGTGTAGTAGGTTCCTCTAGGCTACTGTAACAAAAGTACCTGTGCAAGTTAGGAAGACAGCAAACGCAATCATGAAAGCTTTGTAACTGTATCTCACGGTAATTCCATTTAAAAAAAAAAGAAGAAAAAATTGATGAAGGAGAAAGATGAGAAAGGGAAATAACATGGGAGCAGGGGCCAGGGGCCTCAGTACATCAGTAATGTGCGGGGAGTGGTACAGCTCTATATCCAAACCACAGACTCAACTGCACTGAAAACATGAGACTCAAACTGTAACCAACAAACTTTAAAATGTGTCACGTCAAGGTGGCCTACTGGGGTTGGAGAAGGATGGGGGGGGGGGGGGGGGACTTGGGAACATAGATGAATGGTAGTTAACACGGGTGGTGGGGCTGGTGCTAGAACATTGTATATCTAAAAAAATCAACTATGAATAGCTTTGTAACTAAAGGTTCTTAAATTAAATTAAAAAAAAAAATTAAAGACTGACCAAAAAAAAACCCAAAAGACAGGTTGGAGGCCCGAACGATCCGATACCCCTGCTGGAGTACTCAGGCCCCCGGGTACCCGGGGCGCCCGTGGGAGGGGGCCGCAGCGACCCCGCGGCTCTCGGCAGGTGCGACGCGGGCCCGGCGCACGCGACGACGCACGTGGTGGAGTTGGGTAACCCGCGCGCCCGTTTGAAACCGCGACGGCCCCGCGCCCGCCACCTGCGGGCTTTCCCTCTCCCCAGCCCAGAGCCGGGGCTCGGCGCTCGGGCCGTGCCCGAGACTCCCGCACGGGCCGCGGGGCCGGCGGGGGCCGGGGCGGGGCCTGGCTGCGGGGAAATGACGTCGGCAGCCCCGCGCGCTCCGCGGGCCGCGAGCCGCGCGCCCCGGTAACCGCGCTTCCGCGCCTCCCTCCCGCTCCCGCTGTCCCCGCCTCTCCCGCAGCCGCCCGCCGCGTCTCCTCCTCCCGCCGCCGCAGCCCCGGCCACATCCCCGGCGGGGGGCCGGTGGCCGCGGGACCCGCGGGGCCATGGTGCCCACGCCGCCCCTGCCGGGCGCGATCTGAAGCGTCGGCGCGAGCGGGCCCGCCGGAGTGGGGTGGGGAGGGCTGAGGGGTGGTGGGCAACCGCCGGAGACGACCCCGGGCTCCTGCCCCGCACCGGGGGCACCCGCGGCCTCGGGTTAGTGGGGTAGTGGGGAGCCCGCCCCTGCCTGGACTGGACCGACCCGAGGGTCGCGATCGCGCGGGCATCCCCGCCGACTGCCTCGATCGGTAGCAGGTGCGGGGGGCCGGGGCCGCCCCCTCGAGCGCGGGGGCCCTTGCCCCGGCCGGGGTCTGCCGGGAAGATGGCGACCCCGGGCATGAGCTGGCAGCAGCACTATTACGGCGGCTCGGCGGCCGGAGCGGCCAAATTCGCGCCCTCGGCGCCGCAGGCGGGGCAGTGCCTGGACTACAGTCCCGACCTGCACATGAAGATGAGCAAGAAAATCGCGCAGCTGACCAAGGTAAGGGGGCGGCGGCGGGGTCCCCCTCCCCAAGTCTCCACCACCCCCGGCTCGGCCGGCCGCCACCCAGAGGCCCGTCCGGGGGGCTCACCTGCCTCGCGAGGTGGGCGCGCGCCCTGCGCCCGCCGAGGATGGAGCCGAAGTGGGGTCGCTTCTCTGGACAAGCATCAGCCGGAGACGCAGCTCCGAGAACCCTCCAAACTTCAGCAGAACGCTGGCCACTGTCATGGCAACTAGGCAGCTCAGTAGGACGGTGGGGTTTAGGGGAGCTGCATCCCGTTGCCCTGTAAGGAGAAGCCCAACACAAGACAAATCGGATTTTTTACTTTCTTTATTCCACAATAATACTACTAATGAAACCACTCTAGTTTTTGCTTTTCCGCATCTAGCAGGGCGCCAGGCACGAAGCTTTACACCTTAGTACTGGATGAAGTACAGTACCGTATTTACCTAACATGACCTGGAATTCTCGGAATTAATCGGTACCTTGGTCTGATTACATAGAGGGAGAACAAATCTTCCGAGCAACGTAGGAGAGCAAAACATACCTTGCCTGCCTCTGGGGGTGGGGGGTGGGGGATTTTTATGAGTCATTCCTTATCCTGACAAATTGTAAAAAAAAAAAAAAAAGGCTTATTAGATGAATCATGTATCTGTGTTTAGTTAAATGTTTCGATTATTAAAAGGTAATTTTCAAAGAACAAATAGCCTGCAGATGTTTCCCGCTGTACTTTAGGATGCTCCTTGGATGTTGAGCTTTTTTTTTCTAGTTTAGTAAATATTGATAATGAGAAGAGAGTTGTTATGTGTGAAACTGAGAGCTATTCAGGTCGATTATATTGCTGTTTAGATCTCAGAGCTATTTAGCAGAACCCATTAAGTGAGAAGTGATTTGTGGCCTTTGAAAGTTGCTAGAGTGGATAGAAAGAACTCTATGCATTTAAATTGAACTGGCTAATCACTTGTTTCAGGGTCAGTAATGATGACAAGTGGGCATTTGTGGAGGTTACTACCAGATAATCTCTAAAGTCTGTCTCTGGAAAACTCCAGAATTTTCATTACATAACCTCATTACTAGTTACCACTTTGGAGACAGTAATAAGAGTGGGAAGAAAGTAAAATGCAATGAAAAGGGATAATAGAGGACAAAAGATTTGGGTGAAAACAAATGAAGTTGGGGCAGTCTGGAACATTATAGGATGTTTAGGAGATTAGAAAGAAAAATAACAGAAAGGCTCAACGAGTGAGGCATTAGATGGAGAAGCAAAGGAAAATGTGCAAGTATGAATGTGAAAACTCACACATGCAAATCAAGGAACGTTTTGTGAAACTTTATTTTTTTTGTGTATATCAGGCATTTTCCTGGAGGTAGGTATCCCTGCTGTTTTCTCTTAGGATAGAGGCTCCCCAGATTCAGACAAAGAAAGAATCCAGAGAGAGCCAGAGTTAAAAGTTGGCTTCCTGAAATAGTGTTTGGTCTTCAGAATACAAATGTCCAGAATGAAACACATGGCTCTTTATTCTGATTTTTCCTCTTACTGTTTACAACTTCCATTTTAAAGCTGTTAGAGCCCTGTAATAAGTAAAAGAAACAGTACATTGATGGTGGAACTGAGAATTGTTTAATAATAAAGTTTTTTCATCTTGGGACCGGAGCTTTAGTACGGCAGGTTTGCCTTGCACACAGCTGACCTGGGTTTGATTCCCAGCATTACATCTAAGCCTTCCAGAAGCTACTGCTGGGTGTAGCCCCAACACAAAACAAAAAGTAGTTTTCTCATCTCTCCAGTGAACCACTTTTTACTTTAGCTTTTTCAATTTCCTGTTCTTATCTGAAGTAAAAATGCAGCACATCTGCTAAAGGTGGGAGTCTTGAGTAGAAATTGCTGTCATTTTCTCTTTGCAGATGTATCTCAAATCTAATGAGGCAAGAGACTGCCCCCATACCTAATCTCTACTGTTATTTCAAGCATGCTGATTTAGTGTTTATAGTAACCGTCTCTGAACACTCCATCCACCCCCTCTGCTAAGTAACTCAGATATTTTACCTCTTATACTGACTAGTTTCTCTATTTCAGAATGGCAATTTGGACTGGATGTTTTCTCGTTGGGTAGTAGCATGGAAGGATGGGCCGTCTTGTACATTAGAGAATGTGCAGTAGTGTTCTGCTGGCACTGGTGGTTTCAGTAGCACCCCTTCTGCAACATAGCACCCCCTCTGCAACATAGAATTGCCACAATATACATCTCTGCCAGATGTTTCTAGGCTGGGAGAGGGGCTGTTGTTCCAGGTTGAGAATCACTGATTTATCTAGGGTTCCCGCCACTTGTCTCTTAGCTTTATTACTAAAATATGGCCTGAGAAGGAACTAATCTGATACTGGACTGCTGCTGGCCACAGTCTTCAAGTTATGAAACATTCAAGAAGATCCACTTTGTCATTCATGTTAAAAAGCTGTCAAATGTCATAATTGTGTATTCTTACCGCAGATATTATATCCTAAGAATGACATCATGAGTGATAAATTGATTGAATAAAATTGGTTGACTTCGGACATCAGTGGATTTTGCTTCTTTTAGGAATGAGTGTAACTCAGCTCTTAAACATTTATGGTTAATATGGCTTGGGAATCTGAAATACTGTCTTAAGACTGGCTCTCTACTTACCGAAAGTGTAACCTTGAGCAAGTTATTAAATTAAGCCTCAGTTTCTTAATTTAAAAAAATGGAATGATGGTTACTCATCCCTTAAATCACTTTAGGATGGTACACTTACTTTTGTGGCATGGAGGTCTCCCAGGCAGTGCTCAGGAGGCTGTGATAGGGGTTAGGGGTGGGGTTCCCTCCTAGAGATTCTTGACCAGTGGTACCAGGGATCCAGTCTGAGGACCAACGAGGATTGTGGTACCTGGGGATCACGATGACTGGGGGCTATGAACCTTTAGCTTTCTGGCCTCTAAAATAGTATAATTCGACTATCACTATAAAAACTTATTATATACTAACAAAGTATTAGTAAAATAGTAATATATTTTAAAGATAATCTTCATTAAATACTTACTTCTCATTACATTTATCTTGGGCAATGTGGGGGAGGGTCTTTTAAGCATTACTAAGGTGTACTGGGAGCCACTTGTAGTGTTTCTTGGCTAACCAAGTTGATAGGCCAGTAAAAGCCCTATCATAGATACTGTGCTGTTCGGGTAGTGGAGTGCTGTGGATGCTCAGGGCCACACCCTGCAGTGCTTGAATGGTGATTTTGAGGGTTTAGATGGTGCTGGGGATGGAAGCAGGCATTGGACTCTATCCCATTCTCTGGATTTAATGGCATTGATACTGAATTTCTGAATTTTCTACCTAGAAAGTACATAGTCATTTTTCTTGTTTGCATATCAAATTTTAGATTTCCACACTTTTTACTCTACATTTTTTAGTATAATTTAAAAAGTACATTTCATTTTTCAGAGATTTTAATGGGCTATGATACAATTATGATGAAAATAATTTTGCATTGTAATTTTATGCTTTGTAAGATTCGGTTTTTCTTTTCTTCCTTTCTCTTCCCTTCCCACCTCTGGCTTTTGGGTCACACCTGATGAGTCTCAAAATTTACTGCTGACTCTGTCAGGAATCACTCCTAGTGATGCTTGGGAGACTATAGGTAGTACCCGGCATCTAGCTGGGGTTGGCTGCATGCAGGGCAAGTACATTACCCTCTGTACTATCTCTGCTGCCCCAGATTCCATTTTTCTTAACAAACCAAAAACCATCTCATCTATAGACATATTTCTTAAGATTCTCGTTCCTAAAAGTCATGGCAGCGTGTCATGGAAAAGGAGGGCAGCAGTTCTTCAAGTACCTTTTATGTAAGGGGCATTTTGCTAAATGTTAGCGAGCTAATGGGAACAAGATAGTCTCAGCTTTTTAAAACACTATATTTAGGTTGTTCATGTCATAATTTTATTGAGAATTCCTGTTAGATTCTTGAGTTATGTGGCAAATTATAGAACTGTTAATGACTGAACCATCTCAGGATAGGCAGACAGGTTGTTTGGGATGGTTATTTATTTTTCAAAATAGGATGACATTTCCGTGCTTATCCTACTAAGTGTTGACTTCCACAGTGTTGACTCTTTAGTGCATTAGAACTGCGGGGTGTAATTATATAAAGCAGCTTTATCTTTGCCATTCTCTGCACCCTTTTAATGTACTCTGTGAGGCTGGTTCATCTCCTAACCATGGGTAAACTTGACTTCTGTTGCTCTTAAATAATACAAATCAGCCTCTTCCTTCTCTCCTTCTCTGTCCCCTCTCTTGCCAGTCCTGGCTTTTGCCCTTTCTTATGCTGAACAAGGAATAAGAGAAGAGGACAAAAGTCGTAGACGTGGCAGATGTTTAAAGCTAATGCTTCAGATTCCCCAACCTCAAGTTACTTGACTCAGATTCTGGATGGTTTCTCACTCCTTCCTTACCTCCTAGATCTGGCAAAACCTTCATGCTCATTTTGTTGAGGTCCATTTAACTTTGTGTATTCATGTTTTTGTATTCTTCAGATAGCCAGCCAGAAATATGGTCTATAAATCCACATCTTAAGGAGGATCCATCACTTACTTAAATCACTTAACTTCCCGTTAGTCGTCGATTTGCTCGAGCGGGCGCCAGTAACGTCTCCATTTGTCCCTGTCGCGTGTTAGTGTAGCCCAATGCCATCTGTTTGCTCCGGGAACATGAAGGGCCTCAAACCGATCGTTCATGATCTTGACGAAGAAGTCTGACCATCTGGTAGGTGGGCGGCCACGCGGTCTCTTGACATCCCGTGGAATCCAATCAGTAACAGCTCTAGTCCAACGGTCGTCTTTAAATCTCATTACGTGACCAGCCCATCTGATTTTCGACACCTTGGCAAATGAGACAGCGTCCCTGATCCTTGATCGTCGACAGATGTCAGAACTCTGAATTCGTTCTCTCATTTGAGTGAAACGTGATATTCCAAGCATAGC